CACCAGAAAGTACCAAAAATGGAAAGAATTTCACCAGAAAGTACCAAAAATGATAAGAATTTCACCAGAAAGTACCAAAAATGATAAGAATTTGAAATGAAAGTACCAAAAATGATAAGAATTTCACCAGAAAGTTCCAAAAATGATATGAATTTGAAATGAAAGTACCAAAAATGATAAGAATTTCACCAGAAAGTTCCAAAAATGATATGAATTTGAACAGAAAGTACCAAAAATGGAAAGAATTTCACCAGAAAGTACCAAAAATGATAAGAATTTCACCAGAAAGTACCAAAAATGATAAGAATTTGAAATGAAAGTACCAAAAATGATAAGAATTTCACCAGAAAGTTCCAAAAATGATATGAATTTGAAATGAAAGTACCAAAAATGATAAGAATTTCACCAGAAAGTTCCAAAAATGATATGAATTTGAACAGAAAGTACCAAAAATGGAAAGAATTTCACCAGAAAGTACCAAAAATGATAAGAATTTCACCAGAAAGTACCAAAAATGATAAGAATTTGAAATGAAAGTACCAAAAATGATAAGAATTTCACCAGAAAGTTCCAAAAATGATATGAATTTGAAATGAAAGTACCAAAAATGATAAGAATTTCACCAGAAAGTTCCAAAAATGATATGAATTTGAACAGAAAGTACCAAAAATGGAAAGAATTTCACCAGAAAGTACCAAAAATGATAAGAATTTCACCAGAAAGTACCAAAAATGATAAGAATTTCACCAGAAAGTACCAAAAATGATAAGAATTTCACCAGAAAGTACCAAAAATGGTAAGAATTTCACCAGAAAGTACCCAAAATGATAAAAATGTTATCAGAAAGTATGAAAAATGGTAAGAATATCACCAGAAAGTATGAAAAATGGTAAGAATGACCAGAAAGAATTCTTCTTAATTTGAATGGCTTGACAAATAATTCATAGGCGATATTCAGTGTCAAAACCTGCACCACTGCATGTTTAAAAAAAAACAGTATTTGCACAAAAAAACAACCTATCGGTAATGTTATTTGTTACTGTGCTGAACTATTTGTCATTCCTATCCTATTCCAATTTATTGTATTTTCATTTATATTTAAAATTCTATTATTAACCAACTTTTTTTGTTACAGTATTGCAACTTAGTTCAAGACATCAAATTCAGGATTCAATTTGTAATTTGGACATTTAATTCACATTCCCCACTTTGTACATGTTATATCCTGGCTTTATTATGTATACAGAGCCCTCAATAGGCTAGTCTACAAATATACCCATGATGCATTATTCTTCTCATCAAGGCTGATTAACCAATTGCAACAATTTAAAAGTTTACTGTATCTATAATCTTTTCTTACAGGGATTGCAAAGGGGGAACATCGCTACAGAAATTCCTTGGATTGCTTCATAAAAACATTACAATCAGAAGGTCTATTTGGATTTTATAAAGGATTTATACCGAACTGGATAAGAATTGGTCCACATACTATCATTAGCTTCTTTTTATTTGAGTATTTTAGGAAGCTAGTTGGCATAAAACCAATCTAGACATCATTGTTGTCTTTTTGTCTTCACAGTAATATCTCTCGGGTTAATTTTCAGGACAATATCCATCTAAATATCATGTTTAATGCCTTTAATTTTATAATTAGTATTGGTGGAATGTGAGAAGTAGCCTCAAATATAACGGGGTACTAGGACTAGTAGAATAGAAGATGTACACCGTAATCTATTTTATAAATATGGAAGCATAATTAAACAAACTCACTTTCATCAGCTAAACATGACTTTTGTTGATTAATGTTTTATTGGCAGCAAAAATTAGTTAAAAGGCCTTTCAATTTTGACTAAGTTGGCCAAAAATCAAATTTGAAAGTTATGTTGTCATAAAAAAAATGCTCATATGCGATTTGGAGGTATGATGACTCTACTACCAGTCTAGGTCTGCTTGTTGATTTTTGGATATAGGATGGTGGTTATCGGATATTCTGTTTTTGTGAGTACTATAGCTATTGTATAATATTACAGAACAGAACATGTACAAGACTTCAAACAAAACTTTGATGAAAGTACAACTTTAGAGCACATTGCTGAACATTTGGCATATTATGTTTTAGGGAAAGAAATGTGTAATGGAGAAAATTTGGCATTATTGAAATTTATATCTTGTTGTAGATTTATAGGGTGGTAGCTATATCTATGGTATTTTTAAAATAATTTGATTATTATAAGTAGAAAACTAACTCGGAGTAGTCCATAGTTTGTTTCTGTGGGCAGAACTGAGACACTACCATTGAAACATGATTTAGATATTTGAAGTATGTGAGCAAAAATACTCGCACAAAAAGCTCTTTAATACAATAATGAATTAGAAAAATGCAAATCAAACACAGATAGTTTAGACTGTGGAATGTGTTACTGGTATTTTGTGTTTTCTGAGAACGAGAATGGTTTGATTGATTCAATGATCAGTTTGGGGATGATAAATTTTTGTGGAGGAAGTACATGCATAGTAAATTGAAGACAGACTGAACACAGTCAAAATTAGGTTTCTGATGTATTATATTTAAAAGTCTAATCATGTTCAAATTGCATTTTGTCATAATTTGAAATGACAGATAGGAAAAGCTGCCAAACCACAGTGTGACATCACATCAGCCAATGCCATAGTAGTCATAAGTAGATCTTTCAGGCTGTGATACAGTCCAAGAAATACAAAATACAACTGATTGATATTACCGTAAAATGTTAGTAATTACTGTAAAATACTTTATTTTTGCTTGGAATTAATTTTTGCTGAAGAAATGATTCAGTGAAAATAAAATTCAGTGAATAAACTTTTTTTTCTATATTTCACATTAAACTTTTCAAAAATCGCTGAAAATAAATTCCATACAAAACACCCAACAAGTCTTTTCAGTGAAAATTAATTCCAGCTAAAATAAAGTATTTTACAGTACTTTTAGTCAAACTATAAAAAAAGAAAACTGTACAGGAATTGTTATATTATGACTTTAAAAATTGTATATAAATTATTCTGGGAAAACTGTACACAAAAATAAGCATGTTTTTATTCCATGAAGTCATATCATATATCTTCAATAATAATATAAATTCTATACATTTGGGTAGATTTTTTAAATAATTCAAACATGACAGTAATAACTTTTCAAATGAACTGTTCATATTTATTAAACTATTAACAATAGATCTGAACTTCTTTCAGTAGCTAGATTTCACTGGTAATACATGAATTTTTGACATTCTTACAAACATATTGTAAAACATCTGATGTATGTAGAGATATTTTTTATCTGTAACTGCATCCAACTATGCAAATGCTCAATTCTTCTGACTAGTTTTATCCCAAAGTGACACAATGACTGATTGGTGGATTATGATTGGTTGTTGATCCTACGAAACCTGAATGCAACTAAATTGCAATAGACATTTTATTAGATGTACTTTGAGATGCTGTAAACCAATAGCCTGTCATTAAAGTGACTTCAGCCTTTCCCTGCCAGTATCTTAGATTGAATTGTGGTGAGCTATACAGCTTTGAAATTGACAATATTAATTTTTAATAAAAATATGGAATTATTAATATTGGTCTGGTAATGGTGAATTATACGGGTGAAGATTGCAAAACAGGCATCATAAATGTAATGACAAATGAATAATGTAATGAAAAATGAGTTGATGTAATGACAAATGAGTTGATGTAATGATAAATGATCTAATGCTATTGTAATAAAGATGATGGATTTTAACAATTCTTTGTGTTTACATTAATATTCTTGTCCTAGTAATATTTTTATATTGCTCATAGTGTAAATATGTATCCAGCAAAACTTATCATGAATTTTTCCTTGTAGGACAATATGAATCTGATAGTTTTCAAACATGATTATCATATCAATTAGTGTAAAATATTGATATAGAAATAAGAAAGATATCAAATATATATGTACAAATTTTCAAAAGCAACATGTTCATTTATATATGCACCTCCTGCATTGTGGAGGTACAATGTGCCAGTTAAAGTGCTACTGTATATGTTTTTGGATTTCCTATCCAAAACAAAAATTAATGAACTGGCGATGCTTACTAGGCATACACCGTATTAGTTGACTGTAACATTGCCCTAAAGTTTCGTTCTTAAAACATCGGCTATTTAAAAAGCGTTTGATTTGTGCTCCAATTTTGAAGTACATATACTAAGTAGGACGTTGGCGGGGGGGGGGGGGGCTCGTCACCTGCACACGCGCGGGTTTGAGTACGAAGCAACGATAACAACGTAAGCTACAAATCGCAAAGGCTCATGGGTAGGCGATTGTTTGTAACCAACAACACGCTATGGTTGTCTGCCACATACGAAGGTGGCGGCTTCCAACCCTCCAACTTTCTCAATTTTGTTTAACAAACAGCCGGAACGCATCCGGGCGTTTTGACCGTTATTGGACGCGATTATTACATTTTAATAGCGCCATCAACGGCGCTTCGGCTAAAATTAAGAAGTCAAAAAGAAATTGGGAATTTTGTCATTATCCTTGACATTTAGAACTTGTGTCGAAAAATGTTTGGGATATCAATATGTTCTTTTTTTAAATCTGAATGTCATTTTAATAAAATAAAATAAAAGTATGAAAGAAAATGACATACAATCTTCAATTCGACCCGAATCTTTGTGAATCAATATTTTAAAATACGTCAGTGAGATATTCACATTACTATTAATGCAGTCTTACTAAAGATTCAGTCTTTGACCGTCTGTGTTAGATCCAAAATGTGAAGTAAGCTATGACAACGGAAATACAATGTAGCTGAAGTCAAGGACAAAACAACAACTTTCTGACGTGTCGATACACGTTGGAAAATGTGATATTTCTTTGTCGGCATAGATTAGAAGAACAGATGCCTAACCATATGTAGTCTCTACGACTTAAGTATTATGCAACATCCTGCTACCCTACAATTTCTGTTTACACAAATATTGACATGTAACAGTATATAGATGCTTAGTTTTACTTTGTGTTCTAATCAGACACACCTCGTCTTAGTCTCCCCTACTTCACGACCCGAACCTTTCCCTACAATACATAAACAGATAGAGAGCGCGATTTCACGTTAGTGCTACAACACTTTTCGTTACAAAAACACGTGAACATTTTTGTCCTCGCGAATCAATACTTAATCAATTGAATTATATTTCCTCAATATATCCCTAATTCTGAAAGGGACACGTGTTCCATTTAATCTTGTGTAAGTACTAGTTTACATGCATGTAATACTGATCGGTTGTACTAGTATTTTGACAACCTTTAAAGATTGCATTTATCTGTAGTTGAACGAATGTGATCACATTTTAATATAAAAAGTCGCATTTTGGTGATTATTACGAAATTTGAACAGTGAAAGTCGCTGTACTTGATACTGTAGTCGCTGTACTGTACGGATACCATAAATGAGGGCAATTCATACTTTATTTTAAACGTAATACATCTCGAAACTTACAAACTCAAGGAAATAATTTCGACATTAGAAGTCGACATTTCAAGATTTCGCGTCAGTGGAAATTTGACAACTACTGAAATACCGAAACAATTGTTATGTAAATCACCATCTTTCGTTGTCACCTGTACCTGTGCAGCTGTACTTTTACTGTGTGCGCTCAGTGACGCGTTTACTGGTCCACTGACACCTACAGCAAGCAATATCTCGTAATGCTGGTACATTGGATTCTCTTCGCTGTTCTTGTGCCTCTGGAAATTTCCACTCTGTCAAAAACAGAACATGTCAAGGTATGGTATTGTTGATATGATAGTACTGTGTGTAAAATATAGCTGCCAGTGCCGATATCCCGCTTTCCCGGGGTGGTGAGCCAAACAGAGTACGTCTGACACGTTGCGTTTGACCATAATTCAACAATTTATATCAAAGCATGTTAATTGAATAACGCAAACAACATGGTAAATTAAGGTGCCTTACAATTTTCAATTTTAGTGAAATATCCAAGCGATGGACCGACTATTACAGACGTATAGTCCTGTAATAATAATAATATAGAATACAAACTGTTTAGTATTGGGTATGCCGTGCATTTAACCACGATATGGTGTTTATCTCGAGGGAATTCGCGAGATCTAAAGACAAATGTTGGTGTCGATCACTCGATATGGAGCTAGAGAATTACTCAACAAGTATGCGCGCGATGTACGAGGCCCACTCTCATACAGACCACCCCAACATCAAACTCAATGTTCATTTTAAGAGTAAATTATCCATGTGTTTCATATCTGTAATTAAGATAGCTACAAGACAAACACGAGAAGAAAAAAAAATCAAATATAATTATACAACAATGTATGGCGCGCCTAATTTATCGTTGGTCAAATTTGCTGTGCGCCAATCTAATTTGTTGGTGATCGTTCCACTGTTACAGTACGTATACATAACTAGGCTGAGCGATGGACTAATTGTATAAAGTTATTATTTAGCGAAATACAAAGTGAAAAGACCACCCCTTACCCCTATCCCTAACCATAGCCCTCACCCCAGTTCATATGTATATGCTCCTCTAGATGACTATAGGGGTTCTCAAGAGGGGCATATACAATTAATTCGAGAGGTTATATAGGGTGGGTTAGGATAATAGTTGGGCTACTTAAAGTCTTTCCAAAACGTATAAAATAAACCGTAGATATTGTAGGTACCCCGCTGGCTGAAGCAAATTTTACAGGCAGGAGTTTTTGAATATAGCGTTGGAGGGAAGGAGGGAGGGAGGAAGGGAGGAGAGGGGGATGATTAGTGAACATTTGTTGTTTTAATTGCAGCTCGCATTAAGGAATGTGGTTGGTAGCGAAAAACATCTATCACATGGGCAGAGCGTTGAAGATGTACAACATCGTCGCGTCAGTGCGTGGACAGGCCTTCGCATATTCGCACACCGCTCATTTACGGAGAACACTAAGAACGAACTGGACTCTGAGGTGCATCATGGTTACGTTTTAAAAGACAAAGGGGTGTTGTCTAAGATGTTACCTGAAGACATGAGTGGACCCACAATCGATAAAAGTAAGTAATGTCGAAAACTCACAATGTAATCGTATTTGTATGTGCCTACTCTGGCAGTTTGACACCTTGAATTTCTCCCACCCCACTAGGTAGTTATGAAACGACGGAGATGACACATTCTAAAACTGAAAAACGATCAAGCACTAAAAGAACGATATCCACTCTCGCACAACTGCTCACAAGGACTCCAGTAAAAGAAGAATATAAACAATTGAAATTGAAGATAAAAACTTTGAAAAACAGAGATTTGGCACGAAAGTGCACAGGTAAATGACGTCGAATTCCTCGAATGGCGCCCTCAGACCTCTGATTCAACAGATTTATAATAAAGATATGCTGAGGGCGTAGTCGCACATATTTAGTTACAGGCAAATATCTCGCTTGTTTTTCAGTTCTTATACAGTTGTTCAATTTTGTTGGCACAACAGATTGTCCATGTTCGCGTATCGACACAAACTACTCGTTTTTATACCCTTTTTTTGATCGATACTAACACAATATTTCAATTATCCAGAAGTGCCATTGAGCAACTGTGGAAATTGCGATAATGACGGAACCTGTCGTCAACATAATTGGTACGATAATGTTTATTTTTGTGAATGTCAAGAACCATACTACGGCGACCACTGTGAGTTTGTAGGTGGGTGACTAATTTTACTGCTGCGACTGCTTTATCACTCGATAACATTTCGATTAGTACTTTCACGATATAGTGAAGCGTTAACGTGGCCAATTGTGTACTTACCAAAACGCTTTTACTGAGTCAAGTCTGAATGACGACTACATATTGATACTTCAGTTTTGTTGTTTCATGTTATGCTGCAATTCGTGTTTGACACCATGTTACACTCTACATCAATGACTTGATAGTGACTCTAACGTAGTAAGCTCGTCTCTCCACGTTGCATGCCACACCAAATCATAACAATAAGCGACATCCACCACGTTACTTAAAGGGCGGTAGTCGTCGCGCTGCACATGTGCGAGGTTTGAGATTTGACCTGGGCGCGACTTGCACTTATTACCAACCACCTAAAAATACTTAATTAAAGCTTGGTAACGTCTCAGTTTGTACTCGTTGATCTGCACAACAGCCAAAGTCACCATCTTTGTTTATATGAGACCCATATATCTCGCGCATGCGTGGCGCAACGACTACCGCCCTTTACAAAACTAACGCCAAAGACTAGAGTTTGACTCTAATGTAACACGTTACATCTTTAATTTAGATTATTCGTGGTGTGAAAATGAATGTCAGAATGGCGGCACATGTGAAACCATGGTAAACAATGACGCCGGAGAGGTATATCACCAATGCGTGTGTGATTCGCTTCGATACTATGGTGATTTCTGTCAATACGGTAAGTCGCCAATTCGTACATGCTTGTATGCAGTTCAGGGCAATCGGATTTGTGCTGCACCGATTAATGAATATTAAACCGTGTTCTGTCAAACCATGTACTTCGACATTGACTCGACTAGGGTTAAACACTTATTAGAAGTAAATAATTCACCTGTTGGTTTATGGTACAAACGTACCGGGTTGTTTGAAATGTACATGATAGGGACAATCGGTAAAGTACACATAGTATGGGTTACTGATGCCTACCAGTTTATACAAAATGTATCTTAACAGATTGTTTTCAAACTTTACACAAATATTAAAATTAATGGTGTACATATATATGCATGTTACATTTTTTCTCGTTTTGATGAACTCTGACGGCTTCCCGGTCATTTTAGACCCCAAAATATTTGAGCACGTCATTAAACGTTTCTCAGTCACGCCGTGGCCGATCGTATCCAAATTTCGTATGAACATCACAAATAATGGTGTTCATGCAACCCAGTTTTTGTGATTTGTTTCAAGATGGTTGCCTGGTGGCTATGAATGGTTTTAACGTTTTTTGACATCTGTATTCTGTTCGAGAAAACGTTCTCTATTTAGTTGGCAGCACATTATGATGACAAATTTGACATTTAATTATAACCTATGTATTTCATACTTTACAATTCTCAGTCTTCTTCATAAGAGAATTTGCACCCAATCAGATTTGTTCTAATTTCAGGTATGGACTGCACCAGCCCAGGTTGTGAATGCCTGAATGGCGGCTATTGCCATGTAGATTATGACGCTGAGGGCGTTCTTTATTCATTCTGCATTTGTAATTGGCTTTTTTACGGAGGTGACCACTGCCAGGACTTGGGTAAGTTATTCATAGTCTTAATTGGTGGTTGTCGCCGCACCGTGACCTGTTCGATATTGGACCCGTATACGTATAAGAACACTTATCACCCTGCTATACCTGTTGACCAATCAGAATCCAGGATTTGCAGTGAATTATATAAGCCGTACTTCACTTTTGGGCGGACAATACTCGAATTATACGAACCTCTGCAATTTTCCAGCTACCAAGTTTATTCCCACAGATAGACGTGGCAGTGATAACTGAATTTCGAAATCGAATGAAGTTAAATTTTTTTTCACGATAGTTCAAAACTGGCCCAAGCTCCCCGAAAAATTGAATTCGGCTTTCATTTCTGTAGTATTGTCGTCGGAGACTTTTCGGTTCTTTGTTGTTGTTGTTTTTTTTGGGGGGTAGGGGGGCTGTCGCTGGAGTCGGAGATCAGGGTAGAAATGGTTCACTCGCAGTCGCGTATGCTTTGTCCGTTCACCAAAACCAATGCCATATGTTCGCTTACATTGCCACTATGATTCGTAATGTCTCAGCTTAAAAGTCGTGTTTTGCGAAGACAATTGAAAACTCGCATGGCGATGGGCAATTCCGGATCAGAAGTGGCGTCAAAAATAGTCTTTCTTTGGAAATGGTTAAACATTTTGGTTTGGTATTTCTACGCTGAGACCAAAATGGACCCAGATGCCCTGTCATACTGACGACTATAGACACCATTAAATGCAAGAAATACACGAAGGCAAATACAGTGAAAATAACTTGCCACAGATAGTTGTTTAACGGCAAGGTGTTGCAAAGATTTCGTTTTTAACCGATAATACATTCTCGTTCATTATCCATTACATGTAGAATGCATTATTTGTTTACTTGAAATTCGAACATGCTCTTTATTTCAAATATAAATTAAATTATTAAATAGGGTGACTGTAATTGCAACGTATTTTGCTTCAGTCGAATATGCCACTAGATTTTTAACAGCATATTATTAAAGCTAGACAATAAACTCGTAATGAGTCACCAATTTTTCCCAAGAGAATATGGTGACAATTTATGAACTCCTCAGCACCATGCTTCGAACGACCTTATTGGTGATTGCAAGATTTGTGAAATAGTTTTTGTTTCTCAAAATAA